TTCGTCGTCTCTTCTCCTTTTCCGTACCAGCGGCACTCCGGGCTTCCCGCCTTGTTGATCTTGAATTTACGACTCCATGTAGTCGGCTATCACAAGTTTACAGATTTAGACCTGGAATAGGCTACGCCCCCAGTCCCCTAAGGTATCATCACAAGCAGAAGTATGAACTATCATCTACAAAGACACCAGTCCAGACAACTGGTCTAAATCTCGCTGCCAACGCCAACCCGATCTCTCTTGTACGTATGGTCCCTTGCTTCACTTCTATCATAGCCCACGGGCCGGTAAGCGAGTAACGACATTGAGAAGAAAAGGAAGGAAATATGATCCTTCAGTCCTCCAATTAAGTAGTATACTTCCCATCCCGTCACCGTACGCACTATAAAAGTCCCCGTAAATAGTTCGCAAACCTATCAAGAGCTGACAAGTCAGAACACCCTATCAACGACTAAACAACCTCTCGCCCTAGTCCATAGGGCGGCACGCGAGAAATGAAATTAAAAAAAAAAAATTAAGAAAGACTAAAGAACCAAATTCGAATATCTCAACTATTTACTCTCCTTAATCGTCGTACAACATTTCCTCATTCTAGATCTCTGGGTCCACTGGCTCCGCCTCTTTCGAATTCACAACAGTTGCTGTCGAACTTTCGTAACTCTACTTACCGTTTGAACCCGTCAGCAGGTTAAACTCACTTCATCCAAAGCATCTCCTTTCTATAAAACGTCAGCCCTCGCTCTTTGCACTCGTTCAGCACGATACTATTGACCTCTTTCCAGAGGTCAGAAGAGATAGGCAAGTGGTTGAGCTTGCTTATAGCCCTCTGTAACACCTCTCAGTACATTGCGTTCAACTCAATCTCCCTGCGCCTATCTGTCCAAAACCTATATCGTCCAGTGTATACCTCAACCAATCGTCGAGAACACATGTTGCAAACTGCCACCGGAGCTTGAGCTGCCATTGTGTACTAGTACAAGCCGACGGCTACATACCAGACCCCCAATTCGACGTCGTATCAAAATTCTTCTTCAAACAATTTTGTTAACGATTCGAGTATCCTGGGTACACTCGAACCTCTCATCTTGGATCCTGTCATATTGGATAACCTGTATTATTGGATCAACTTTGCCGGCCCGAGTAAATTAAGCCGGTGGGGATTATGGATATTTTGACTTATTTGATAAAACCTGCCAGTTCCGTCCTTATCCAATACAACAGGTTCGACCGTACTTCGATGCTGCCCTAACCAAATGCCCTCGCTGCTCAGCTTTTTATGTAGCAAAGCGCTGTTGGTAACTCTGTGGAAAGTTGTCCGTAGTTGTTGAAAGTCGCAAGTGAACTCGAAAGTGAAAAAAAAAAACCAAAGCGAAGCGTAGCCGAGCTAGTGAAAGAGATCTTATGACTAGAAGGGAAGGGGATGCTAATTATTGGATCGATGTTTGTTGGATTTATTTCTTTTTTGTTTTTTTATCACGTAACCCCACTTGCAGCTATTCGCCATGGCAGGGCAAAATTGGATTTGGTGAAGGAGGGTTGTAGAATTGTAAAATGTGAGTGGTATTGCAGATGACGCCATATATATTATGCTTCGCTGGTGGAATTCTGCCGTGCACATGACAGGATTCAGCGTGCTCATATATGGAATCCAGGCGTTCTCGTCAACACCTTCATGAGACTGTCCCTGCAGTAGGCTGGTAGCATGCGTGCGGGGTTACGTGACTCAAAAAAATAAAAAATAAATAAAAATCGCCATGAGAAGTAGATGCGCAGCAGCTGAAGTATTCCCCGGTCTCCAATAAAAATAAGCAGTCCACATGGAAGCCTTCTATCGCCCTATCAGGATATATGCAATACAGGCAATGTATATGCAGAGGTGGCAGAAACTACGACAAATTATTCTCGAATCCGTTGGCGGCAAGCGATTAATGATATTAAAAAAAAAAAAAAAAAAAATCTCGAATCCGTTTTCTGGTCCACCGCAGAACTAATCATACCGTGAAGCCCGCCAATAACATGCTCAAAAATAAGACCATGCCCTTTGAATATGACTATATCAGGGATTAATGAGCTAATGCGATTCTGGATATGCGAGTTGAGCTGATGCTGAATCTTGTACTAGTACTAGCCGGACCGAAAATACCCGGCTTTGGAGAATATGTAGTGGATATGTAATGGTACTTGCACGTACAGTATGTTCTTATAGCTAGTGAAATATGTTCGGACATAGCGCTGTGCATTAGTACCCCTGTCCGAATACATATTTTACTGGCTAGTAGGTCAAATTAAGCTGACCGGAAGCGGCTAAATATACCTTAGGTATATGATAAACCTCGCCGATATTCGCGTGCCCATGGCGAACAGCTGTATGCGGGGTTATGTGATATTAAAAAAAAAAAAAAAAAATGGCCCCAAGTATTCGCGAATAAGGCACTACAGAAGTAATCCGGCCCATGCATAAGTGTCAGCCTGACCTAAGGCATATGATGTGCGATGCTGACTTTCCCTAGTTGGCCATGGCGCAAGCCTCTGCGGCTGCTGTAGGAGATTATCCTTGATGGAAAGCTTGCGCGAACAGCCTCTGCAGCGCGCCCTGAGGAGAATCAGATAAGGATTTTTGGGGAGGCGATTTATTGTCCAAGAAATTTAGACAAGCTTCCGCCTCCACACACCCTGGATGTCTTGATGTAGAATGGTCAGTCAACGAAGAATCCAAACATATCTTTCACATCAAAAGGTTATCATTATTATCATTAGATCATAGATTCTACATAAACATATTCAGCGGCGCGAGTTTACATTTGCTTCCAATAACCCGACTTGTTCTATTTGGAGCATATCAAATTCCCGCCCAGAATTTTGTTGGCGAACTAGCGACAATCCATCCATGTGGGTCGCAACGTTGTAGTAACCGATACTGCCCTACTGTATAAATGTGCACTAGCCTAATTTGTTGCCGGTTTCCTGATCTGGCAGTGCAGTCCTTGGCAATGTGAGCGGTCATCTGTTTTACAGCATACCAATAATACGAATCGATCGTCAGAACCAGTGTCATGTAAACTTAGGAGGCGATCAATCACTAACAGCGATGACAAGCATTCGAAACTAAATTCAGTCTTGCAATCAAAACGGGCCAAAATTGTACCCTGTGTCTTTTTACAGAATTCTATTACAGTGTATTATAACCCTTTCGCGAGTCAGAGTGCAGAACCTGCAGATTTGAGACCAAGCCAAGGTAACAAGAACTAGTGAACTAGTTGGGAAATCAACTGTTCGTGGTTGATGGTGGAGCGCAATTACAAGACATAGCCGCAAAAGGGAGCCTGATTGGTGCCGATCGTGAGGCTTAAAGAATGCACGCCCCGCAGTCACAGTTTAGGAATGCCAGCCCCCTAGGCAGCTGAGATTACTTAGAAGTCACAGAGATCTCAACTTCCTCCTGTTGCTATTTTGTCCCTACGTGCCCTAAGAAGCCGCTAGCTTGCTACGCCGGCTCCACGCAGAGTTACGGGTCTCTCGTACTTGCGTCCTTATGATGTTTCCGTCGATTGTGGTAAATTAGTTTTTAGGAACTCCATCTCATGTGGATTGCAAGTGGATTACAAGGTGCTTCTTGTCGAAGTCGCCTGCTCGTCAAATCACAAGCTAGGCCAACTCATACGAGAACAAGCACCTCAGGGCGACGTTGATCGGGCGGGGGCATAGCAGGGTTGAGACCATGTCCCTGGCACGAACCCTGCAATGCTCTTCCCAGTTGTCATAAATATGTGCATGCGCGCGTTAGCGGAAACAGCCTTTGTCACAGCCTTGCTGAAAGAGAAGTACTGTACTCTCGCAAGCGAGGGCTTAGGCAAGCAATGTGAGCAACACACCAGGTTAGTAAACGTTCAGATAATCATAAGTCACGTACTGCCACATTTGCAATCACATTACCTGCATGGACATCACTACTAGAGCATAGGTATACGCAACCGAAGACCCAGGGAAAATAATTCTGAAGGGGTGCAGCTCTTGCGCTAGAGTAAGGATGTTCCTACTTGTTGCTGGCTTCACGTAGTCACCTAAGTCCTGTTTCATTCAAACTCCCATCCTCCTAAAATCTTCAAGCCCCTCATAAGCACCAATCGTCATACAGAAAGAGGATCATCAGTCAATGTTCTGTACTCTGTGGCTGAGGTATCCGGTAGAAGTCGCGTTATGTTGCCAATAACTGTGTCAATGCCTGATTCTCTGGTCCCTTATCACAGACTATTCGCCCTGGTACTCCGAATCTGGCAATCCATTCATAAATGAACTTTGCAACACTATGTGGTGGTAACAACGGTACTGATAAAAAGAATAAGGCAAAACGCGGCCCGGAGCGGTACTAGTGAGCGGCACGAGCCGAGCCAGCTCGAGCTTAAGGCAGCCAAGATCACGGTAGTATTTCTCTTGGCAGCTCGCTAAAATGCTCAGCCAGCGCAGGGTTTCTTCAATGTCGATGCTGAAGGAAGCAGTGGAGGAACTTGCAGCAGGAGTAAATGTAGAAGAAATACTGAATTTAGTGGATAGCGGCGAGGACGATGAAGCTGTTAGATTAGTTATCAATATCATGTAATCAAGGCTCGCTAGCTCGAGCTCACCCTCCAGCTCGGCTCGAGCTAGCTCGTGCCGCTCACTAAGCGGTACTCATCGGTAAGGCCATATGATGATACATGCATAGGATCAGGAAGCGAGTTACATTTAAGAAGCGAGATGTGGATGTATAGGCTCAGTTGGAAGGTGAAGCTGGTCTATAAATTGATGTAGATAGGGCTGTGGAAGCAAGCAAGCAAGCAGCAACAGACATGGATACGCAGATATAGATCAGACACTCCAGAAATCGCAGACAAGACTACAGACCACACATGACCCTTTTCTTGACATTTGACCATTGAGACCGCCCTTGAGACTTGGTTCCGTCAGCTCTAGATACCAGTACCCTGTGCGAAACAGTGGATGCTGTTGAGCCTTCATCACATTGGTCCCTTCGACCGGAGTCGAACCGGCGACCAATCGGTTTACAGCCGAGTGTGATACCAATGTGATGACGGCTCAACAGCATCCACTGTTTTGCACGGGTACCGGTATCTAGAGCTGGCGGAACGAGGTCTCAAGAGCGACCTCAATGGTCAAATGTCAAGGAAAGGGTCTTCAATTGTCTTCTCTGCGTGTCCATGTCTTTCTCCCATACGGTCCTATCTACATACATTTTATAGACCACCTTCGCCTTCCAACTGAGCCTATACATCCATATCTCGCTTCTTAAATGTAATCCTGTTTCTTATCCCACACATGTGGCCCTACCGATGAGTACCGTTCCGGCCCGCGTTTGGCCTTATTCTTTCCATCGGTACCATGGTTACCACCACATACTACCCCCCTCCCCTAGAACGGCGGCCCTCCGCGTTCGAACTATCAAACAAAAGAAGAAAACCAATCTATAAAAACAAAACAAAGATCAACAAAAGACTAGTCAATGTCAAAGATCACAAAATAAGCTTATCAAATTATGCGAGCAGCCGTTTCCTTGTCTTTCAGTTTATGACGTAATCAGTTCGCCTCATAATTCCCGCCCCGGGGGCGGAATTCGCGTTCCTGATTTCTACCTGCTCTTCCTGCTCTTCCTGTTCCTCGTGCTCCTGATCCACGCCCACTCTCACATGGAATTCCTTGATCCTATCACCTGAAATCGGTCCCTCTAATAGCGTCCCATCCAATTCAGCAAGAAGGTATGTTCCTCGACGCAGTTGATATCCTTCATTCTGTATGGTCCCATCCACCTGTTGTCTAACTTGCGAGACCAGTGCTGATCCAATTGACTGTTGTACAGTAGCACCAAGTCATCAACCTCCAGCTGCTGAAGCCGTTCCTTTCTTCTGCTATCAAAGAACTTCTTGTTCGCTAGTCGATTCACCAGTATCCTGTCTGCGGCTGCCCTGAGGTCTTCTTTTCGCCTCTCCAGCTGATGCGCTCTGGCTGCCAGTAGCTGTTCCCTTGTATTGATCTTGTTCCAGTCCACCATTGCCCAAGTCCTTTTTTTTTTTTTTTATATATATCATTAATCGCTTGCCGCCCTATGGGCTATGGCGATATTGCCCAAGTCTTGGCTGACAACTCAATAGGTAATACACAATCTTGTCCAAATACCAATCGGTAGGGCGCATATCTAGTTGAAACTCTTGTAGTGATCCTGTCTGCCCATAGCACTGCAGTTTACCAATCTCACTTTCCTTCATTCTCCTATGTAATTAAACATCGCCATAGCCCTCAGGGCGGCACGCGAATACAGATATAAAAAAAAAAAATAGCACTGCAGGTAAGTGCCTGACCCATATCTTGCCCAGTTTAGCTAACGCATCTATGATAGACTGATGTCCTCGTTCCACTAAACCATTTAACTGTGGATGATATGCAGCAATCCTGACGTTGTCGATCTTTGATAGGCTGATGTCCTCGTTCGACTAAGCCATAGCCCATAGGGCGGCGCGTGATCACTGATATGAAAAAAAAAAAAAGAAATAACGTTGCTACGTGTATATAGGTACATTTAGGCCTCCAAGTAATTGTGCATCAAGCTGAATCATCGAGGGCGCAGTTTTTTTTTTGTTTTTTTTAATATCTGTAATCGCGTGCCGCCCTAGGGGCTATGGCGATGAGGGCGCAGTTCGATCTACACTCACTAGTGTTTCTGAGCTTCGCAACGTCAATCAAGAAGACAGCTAGTGATGAGTATTGAAGACAGATTATTGCCAAATACATAGATGTTTCATTCCATGATAGCAGTATAAAACCCACCCAATTCAAACGCACTTGACCCCTCCTCAATTGAGAAATATCATCACAACTATATCTTTGATCTTTATCGTCACTTTTAACTGTCTAAGGCAACGGAATAATTCACACATATTATAGAACGAGCCGACTGACATATAAAACAATGGATATTCAACTGGGATCAATGTCAGACTCGAGTGACGGATCACTGACCCCAAGGCCAGCAATGCCTCACCTATCCTTTACTCCTGCATCATCAGAGTTCGCCTTTGATTCCGAATGCGAAGAGGGAGAGGTTAGTCACGTGTGTTCCTGCTGCGACGCTTTCGAAGCTAACAGATCATAAAGCATCACGAAGACACAGCCATCACAGAAATTGATGACATCTGCCCTGATGGAGATTTACTTTTGCATCTCAGGTTTTCATATAATGTTTCACCCACGGAGCCTCATACCAACTCGGCAGCAGAATTTACATTCAAGGTCGCATCGGCCTCATTAGCAAATGCGGGTGGAGGCTTTAGACAGCTTGTATCTCTGCAGGTTAATGAGTCAGAGGACTTGCTACCTCTTTGCCCAGGACGAATATGCGGACACCGTGACAACGACAACGAACTTAGTTTACTCATAAACAAGATTCGGAAGTCAGAGCGCAGTTCTTTTCGCATCATTCTTCAAATACTCCATCTTCAGATAACAGGGCTATTTAAAGCCCCCAGTCTTACTGACATCTCCAACATCGCTGAAGCCGCGTGGGTGTTGAACTGTGCACACGTAGTCGCACCATGGGTAGAAATATGGCTTTCTCGGTTGAAAACGGAATCGTCCGTAACGCCAGTTAGAGCTGGCTCGAGCCTGTTGGAGAGGAATGTCACCATAGAGTGCTTGTCCTCGCTGGAGATACTAAAGCTAAGTTTCGCGCTTGGCGACCAAGCCATATTTCGAATCGCATCGAAAGACTATATCTGCAACTATCAACACGATTCATCCCTCCGGTGGGCTTATTACGGTTTGGCGATGATTCCACTTATCCAAGGCAAGTCATACTCCCTTCACCCCGGTACACTGAGCCTGTGAATGCTAATTAATTGCTCCGCTCATGTAGAAGAAGTAAGATCAGCTCGGGAAAAGGTTATTACAGAGCTTATGCACGTATTCAACGATACATACGATTACTACGACTACCTGTCCGCGCAACATCGAAACGGGACAGTTGGCGCTCTCCTCCTCGGTACGCTTGTGTCGTCTGCAAGACGAGAACTTAAGATCCGCCATATTCCGCTACACCCGGCCACATGGTGCGGGAGGATTGTAGATCTAATTCAGGGCATGCGTGCCATAGCAAGGGACCTTAACTCTGCGTGGATGGATGCTCGGAAAGTGGGTTTGTCGGCCGTGGCCAAGCAGCATGATACATTCGATGGTACTGAAGATCCAGTTGCGGACTTTGCACGGAAACTTGACTTGGCCCAGGGAAGTCTTGTGGGCTTGGAGCTAAGCAAGTACAGCCGCCCAGGGGACCCGCAGCTGTTCGATCTACACAGGCGCAGGCTGGTAGAGTTCTAACTAGGTAGAGCTTTGCTGTAAGGTGCTGACGTTCCGTGTTGACTTCTTTTCTTTTTTGTATTTTCTTGTGTTTTTTTTTTTTTTTTTTTTTTTTTTTCCTCCCTCTTTCTTTTGTCTTTATTTCTTTTCTTTTTGTCCATTAGCTCATGGGTTTTAGAGTTCTGACGGTACCCAGAAGCCACGAGGATACGAAAGTGGGAGTTTTCTGTACTCAGTACATGTATTCAGGGTGGCATGCGAGTAATGATATTGAAAAAAAAATTGTACATGCATTACCGTTTCCTAAGAGTTACTGTTTTTATAATACCATTGCAGACTTGAATATCGCATATTGTCGATATCCTCTATATATTTTCTGTATCACATTAAATTTAGAATTAGCCAGCTGAGCAGTTCAGCGGTTGCGTTGAGAATGAAGATAAATTCCTTACAGTAGGGATCGCTCACTGTGAATTCAGAAGGCTCAATCTGTAAGTACATATGTACAGTATGTAGCTCAGGCTCGATATAGATCATAAGCTGGAGGAAATTCTAGAGATGACGAGAGATAGTCCGTCCATAGTTGAATTGCGTTCAGCAATTGGCTGGCTACGTTAAACTCGTTTCCTAGTTTCGCACGAGATGTACGCTAGTGAACTTATTTTTAGTTATTTATTTATATATATTTATTTTACTTTTTTGGTTTTATATCTATTCTTGACGTCACTACTCGGTTCGAGACTGGTATTACTCGCAATCCATTGACAATGCGAGAGTCTTAAAGCTACGTACAAAGGAGGTCAAGAGTAATCAACCTAAGAAACACAGTACGAGAATCCTCTCAGTCCCATCCACCTTAAGGACTCCACCCTCCTCCTGCCCTCGGTGGATGCAACAGCTCTACCCTCAACTCTGGCCATATCTCAGTCCACATTCTACATTCATTCATCGGATAGACCGGTTTCTCATCCTGTTCGCAACGCCACCTATACTAACCTGCATTTCCGCGGCAGAATAATTGTCTAATTATACAGCTCAAACGAAATTAACCTAGAGCACTTGGGCATGTATTTTCTCGAAGTTTACACCGAAATCTAAAGTACAATGAAGTGTATATCCAAGTATATATAAAGGTATTCAATCTCAAGGTTCGCGGCACGCGATCAATGGTATTAATAAAAAAAAGATAAAATAAAATAAAATAAAAAAATCTCAAGGTTTCGATGCGGATCAGTATCTGCAGGATTCAGCTATGTACAGTATTTGTGTTAGATTTGTGCATACAGGACGAAAAGTCGAATATGAAGATCAGATAATAGACCCGACATTCTGGTCCATGCCCGTACAAGCTTCCTGGGCCCTGCCAGCCCCTGCGCAAGGACTCTCAACGTATTGCCCCACATGTACTTGTCAGGCTCATCGTGCCTACGTCACCAATGCTTAGCGCTGTGACCCCGTCCAACCCCCCTGTCAACGAATGGCTTTCGCCCACCTGAGATTGGGTGTTTGCCCCCTGGTTGCGGCAACCACTACCGTTTGCAATGTAAGAGGCCGAAGGCATACTCCAACTCCGAATATTAATCTGATAATTACGAAGACTCACTGCTTGAGCTTAATGAGATTCTTGACAGCTGGCAGTCCCAAAAATCTTGGAGCACATCAATTCTGGTGCGCTGTCTCTTGTACATCCTGAGTGGGCTCTGACACGGCTTCAGCTATCTCCTCACTCACTT